GCCAGTCTGGTCTAGATAGTAAATTCCAGGACAGATAGGACTATGTAAAGACAGCCTGCTGAAAACAGAAACAAAAACAAAAAACAAAACAACTCAAAATTATGGTATAAGAAACTCCAAAGAGTTCACCTTTGCTTTAAAATAGACACACAAGCTATATTATGAGCCAACAATGTGTATGCCTCTGAAATAATCTCCCATAAATCTTTAGGAAGGGGCTGGAGAGTTAGCTCAGTGGTTAAGAATACTCACTGTTCTTCCAGAGGACCTACGTTCAGTTCCTAGTACCCGCATGGCAGCTTACAAGCATTTGTAACTACAGTTTCAGGAGATCTGATACCTTCTTCTGACTCCACAGGCACCAGGCACAAATGAAGTACACACACATACACAAACAAAACATCTACACACATAAAAGAATACATTTTAAAAAACTTTCATGTAATGCTGGAGAGCAAATCCAGGGTCTCATTTGTGCACACTGGAGAAGTGTGTTATTGCTTAGCTATCCCCAGAGCTCCCGAACACTTATGTTCTGGGTTACCAAACATTTTTTCCTACTTACATAGCTAACTCTAGCTGCCTTTGGGTTTTTCTGCCCCGCTTCCTTTGTCATGTTCCTCCTACCCACTTTAGAGCTGAAGATCAAATTCAGTGTTCTTGAGATCACACTAATGATCTAAATCCCCCATATATGGATAAAGAATTAATCTACTATATTCTACCTATCAGAATTGTCTTTATATAAAACTGATCTTTTGATCTTTTAAATTTATTTTTTAATTTTATGTATGAGTGCTCCATCTGCATGTACACCTGCACATCAGAAAAGGGCATCAGATCTCATTACAGATGGTTGTGAGCCACCATGTGGTGCTGAGAATTAAACTCAGAACCTCTGGAAGAACAACCAGTGCTCTTAACTGTTGAGCCATATCTCCAGCCCCCAAAGTGATTTTTATAATGTCTTTTAGATTGCATTATTGAAGTGGAAAAGAACTTATATAACTGGCTTATAGAATAAGTATGGGCTGTTCAATCAACACAGAAAATATTTACCACTTCAAGATACCTAGAAGGAAAATGTACTCTGTTATCTGATGTTGACTGATAACTTTGGATGTACTGTATACTGTGAGTCAATGAAGTATAAGTGCTGCATCCACCAGATTGTCCATTTCATGAAATGCAACTGCGCTATCCAGTGTCATCTCTCCCCACGTCCCACCATATCATGCAGTTTTCCCATTTAACAGCAGTCTTCAACATCACAGTATCTCTGTTATCTGTAAAGGATAGGGGCTCACCTTCTCCTAATGATAGGCAATTAGAAACAAAGAAAGCTGAATTCTGACTATAAATGTACTTGTGCAACATAGCATTTCTAAACCTGCGTAAATCCAGGAAGACTTTTATTATACAATGTGACTTTACATCAATAAAATGTTAGGTAAAACATTATAGATGAAGAACAATTTAATTTGTATTGAAATAAATATTAGACATATGAAGCACATACAGTGAAAAAAGGTCACAATAAATTCCAAGTGGAGACATGACTTTGTGCAGTCACCAAAGAAAGCCCCTGATACTTCCAATTTCACACCATCAAATTTATCATTCTTGCTGATTTAAGCAGAACACAAAACAAATATGGATCCTAGGGCTTACTTTCACCAGTACCAGCATGGATAATTTACTACAGTGATCCAATTTGAAGATCAGCAGGGACCAGTAAATTGCTGCATAAAAGAAAGAGCGAATGAGGGTCTTTTTCCTCAGTGTCAGCAGGCTACGATTATTATGTTTATTACATTTTCTTCAAAGGACTCCACATTTTCTCAAATATGCAGGAGAACTATATTTCCCCTCTGAGCCCTACATTAGCATTATGTGCTTTGGTCTTGAATACAGGAGAATGATGAAATTTTCAATTTATTTTATAAATTTATAGCCAGGATAATAATGGCTTGAAGAGTATATGTAACTCCCCAACCTGCACAATATATTAAAAGTGGATTCAAAAGAAGTTAGTAAGAAGTGCTGACGTACTGCATATACACATTGTTTAGCTCAATAGGTCCCATTCTATCAAGCACCAGAGGTGATGCATTTATAAACCAGGCAGTCCCTATGAGTACTGCTAATCTCTGCAATCCTTGTATACTTGTTTCACTATATACACATCACTAAGTGGTGCCTGCCCAAGAGTTTGCTCTTTTGGTCCCAACTTACAGATACATGTAGACAAACACTAATGTCAAAAGGAATTGTTCTTAAAGTTATAAAAAAATAGTAAATATTTGGAATTAAATGTTATGATCAACAAGGGTAGTTGCTGAGCCTAATTTTTAAATGTACCTTTAAAAAAATAGAAAAGATGGGAGGCAGAGACAGAGACAGGAAATCCCTGAGTTCAAGGACAGCCTGGTCTACAAAGAGAAACCCTGTCTCAGGGGAAAAAAAAAAAAAAGAAGGAAGGAAGGAAGAAAGAAAGAAAGGAAGGAAGGAAGGAAGGAAGGAAGGAAGGAAGGAAGGAAGGAAAAGAAAGAAAAGAAGAAAGAAGAAGAGGAAGAAGAGGAGGAGGAAAAGGAAGATGAAGAGGAGGAGGAAGAGGAGGAGAAAGAGGAGGGGAGGAAGGAAAAGTAAGATTTTTGTGCCCTTCTTTCTCCTACAACAGCCAATCATTTTAAAAGACTCTAGCAAACACAGCTATCAATAATCTTTTTTCCTATGAAAGAGCCACTTGAGACACAAAGAATACTGCATGCTGTCTTGTCACTACCGACTCAGTGAGGGCCAGTTATATGGCATGTACAACACAGGACCATGTGCATTAAAGAGCTGCTGAGGAACAACTCCAGGCTTCCAAAGGGCTGCAGTGCCTCTAGTATACTGTCTGGTGAGCTACACCAACACACCGACAGTGTTGAACTTCCCTGATCCAGGGAATTCCAGTGGTGGTAGGAAAACTTGTTGTCTTTATAGATTAGACTCAATTTTCAAACCCAGGTAGTATTATTGATTTAATATCCAAACAGTCAAGTGCTTTCATATTACAGGGGAAATAAAATCTCAATTGTAGTTTAACTGATTCTATCTAGTATACCTACAAAATAATCATGAAAAAATTAAAATTTCATCTCTCCATATGAGAAAAATTATCATTTCTCTGAACATTTGAAAAGGGGAAAGAATAACCTTAGCAATTTATAACTTGGATGACTTTGGCTGAGAATGAAGAGACAGTAACACACGTGCCACTCCCGACTGGGCCCTGTTTTACTGGCTTGTACTGACAGTGCACTTCTTTTGAATGTTTTTACTATTATAAAATAGTACTCATAAGCTGGGAATATAGCTCAGTGGTAGAACAAGGGGCCCTGGGTTCAATCCCCAGTCCCATCTCCCAGCACACATAGTAAATACTTACCAAGTATTTGTCTATTCTTGAATTAAAGGGGTCACAGAACTAAGATACTTAGTGTTATGGACTACTAAGCACTAAAGTAGCACAACATAATCTTCTAACCCCACTTGTGAAAATGGGGACTACCTAAGGAAACAGTGACACCTATCACAGACCTAACTGTCCACAGTTATTTTCCCCCTGGGCAAGTTTATCAATACAAATTCTAATACACTAGCTGAGCGGATTTTGTTTGTTTGTTTATGTGTTTTAATCCACAGTCACAGGTGCTCACTTTCCCATCTAAAATGTTCAGAGACCTCACCTTAATTTTATCTTATTACATATGCATTCATGTTCCTTTCCAGGATATTCGCTAAACTTAAAAACCTAATTCAAATTTTTATCTATATCTTTAGACCTACTGGAAACTATGTGATTCTTATTTAACAGCATCCATTACTTTTCCAGAACTTCAGGTTTGTTCCTAGCTTGCCTCGACATTCTCAGTCAGGGATATATACAAGCATCTCAACTTAGTCTTTAAAATCAGCTTTCTCTCTTGTTTTTCTTCCAAAAGCATCTCACTTAGTGAAATTTTATTTCAAGGATATTTAACTGCAAATTATACTTAAATTGCTCTGTGGCTTAATATTAAAATATAGCCAACTTGGTGAGAGATGAAGTATACAGAAGAAGTAGAATCCTTGTTAGAAAACAACAGAGTTTGTATGAAGCTTCCACTTATCCTCTTCCAGTTTGTAAAGCACTAGATATTCTGCATGATAAATCAGCTTCCTTTACGCTGCTTCACTATGCAGTGGAAGTCTCTCCTGCTACACCCACCGTATGTACTGGTCCATGTCCTCATCTTTGATAGGTATACAAGGAAGCACTAATTTCAGATCTGAGATCAGCTGACTGTACATATTCACACACACTGTAATATTTCTAACTGAAACTTCATGCAAACTAACATCTAGTAATGTTCAAATTAAAAAGTTTGCCTTTTCACGGGCTTGAGAATATTATTTATATACTACACTTTCCCTTAAGGAACAAATTTACATTTCCATTCAAGCACAAGTTATCAGAAACAATGAAATTCTACAATATCATTAAAGAGTCTTAATTATATCGCTAGCATTTGAAATTACAGCTTTAAGAAAAAAATTCTTGTTAACATCAGCATGAATTAGCTCTTCCAAGGAAAGCTTTTGGACCAATATCATAAAGAACAAACTCACTTATAGGCCCTGAAACATAAAAGGCAATCCAAGTACAAACATAGCACACACACAACACAAATGGAAAGACTGGTGGAATACAAATACATTTTGTACTTTAGCTGATCCAAAGTTAGTATCTTACTTTGCATAAATGACCTTCCAATTAAGAGAAGATGCCAATATAAAAATAGACAAGTAAGAGGTACACGGACACTCTCAGCACTATTTTTGAAGCTCTTATAAGTCTAAAATGTTCCAAGATTGGGGAAAAAATGTAGGAGAAAAAACATTTCAAAATAAATATGCCTTTAGCTGCCAGAACTCGATGTCATTCAAGACAAAGTTTTAAGACATCATTAGAAATCAGTTTACATAACAAGATAGTCACTTTATTGCTCTATAAAGTTGCATCTTTAAAACTGTCAGATTACATAGTGATGAGGAGGCTAGGCACACACATAAAAATCAACTGGATATTAGGAGGTTGCTTCTCCAACTCGGTGGATAAATATTACAAAAATATAAAAGTAGCTGGTCAAGGCTAAGCTATCAAGTAGTATTTTCTGGAAATCTACCCCAAGACTATCACCTTTCTATAGATTAGGAACTTAAACAAAAAGAAAACTGATGTTATAAGTTACTAATGAATGTATTTGAAAAATCTAAATTACATGCAGATAGAACTGGGTACAAAAAAAAAAGCCACATTACATTATTCTATACTAAAATTGTAGTGTAGTCTTTTAAGTACTTCCAATCATGCAACAGTAAGTAATTCGGATCAGAATGACTTTTATAGAGGAATAGATGGGAACTCAATTAAAAGAACTGAACCTACTATACAGCCTCAATCACAGATGCATTATACATTCAATCCCCCCCAACTCATCTATGTGTTACCAGGCTGAAATACCCATCACTCCCCTCAACTACTCCCCAGGCCCATTCCCCATTAAGTACCTTACCCACAACCCTTTCCATTAAACCCTCTGAATCATTTGCTGAGTAAACATGTAATCTACAGAATATTCTTCATTATTTCAGAACATACACGTGTAATCACATGCTGTCTTCAATCACATCCTTTCAAAGGCATCTGAATTGCTGCTGCACATGGCTAGGAAATTTCAAGCCTAAGAAACCAAGAAAACTAAAGTCAAGATTCTGGAACTATGTAATTTTCTACAAACTATAGCAGCACTGATAATCTACTGGTTGACATTTATACAGGTTAGTCACTAGGTCTCTATGTTACTACTATCCTCTAGAGTAAATGATTACATGACCCCAAAGAGCTAATCCAAAAGAGGTTTACAGTCAATCTGTTTTTCAAACATCATTCAAAGCCACAGATGGACTATGGAGACGATAGCTTCACAGGTCATAAAATGCATACAGAACTTCTCCGTAACGGTGCAGGCTAAACACACCTGTCCTAGAAAGCAGCACAAGTAGAATGTGACCTCAAACTACAGGGGGATGTGCTTCTGTTAAAATCTCACACCAAAATTACAGAATGGAAAAATACTGTCTTAACACACACTCAACTCATCTAGTGCCATAATGACCTTGCTCCAGATAGAACTTAGGTTAATAGTTAGGATGAAACAAATTTCAGAATTCTTTTTAAAAGAAATAAATGTATTTCATGATGTAGGCACAGCATCTAAAACAATTTAGTAGCATTTATCACTAAATACAAACTTATATAACACAAACAGTAATGTAAAGTGAAATTTTCTCAAAAAGTGTTAAAGGCTTGATTTAACATGCCAGGAAAATTATTATTTTTGCACTGAGATGCATTTATGTAAATCATGTAAATTGAACTGAGGTCAATGTTAGACCTGTAATTTGGGACCCCTATCAGAATTACCAGCTAATAATGCTAATCTTCTAAACACAGCTTAACTAGACGTTAAACTACGCAACTGTTGGTGCCAGTCTGCTAATGAAGGCAATGCTCTGGAGACACAGTCTTCTCACAAACAGTGGGCAGGAGGGTTTCATGATAATGTGTTCAACAACAATCCTCAGTTCATTAAACAAGTTCCTGTAAGATAAAATCGTTTTGTTCAGAAACACAAGAAAAGACAATGAATACAAACAATGTTATGAAATGCAGAAGAAAAAGTTGACCAAAAAGAATTTAAAGAAGTAGCTGGGTGAAGTGGCAAACACATTTAATCCTAGCACTTGGGGGGCAGAGGTAAGCAGATCTCTGAGGCCAGCCTGGTGTACATAGTAAGTTTCAGGACAGCCAAAGCTGCTTAGTAACACCCTGTCTCAAAACAAACAAAGCCCAAAGCATTTAGTAGAAGATGAACCTGGAATACTCTGTAGGGAACATGCAGATATGCAGCCGGTGAAGCCATGCACACCTGGCAGCCCTCCCCTCAGCTGCTAGTGCAGGAGGTGGAGGGCCTAGGATTCCCAAGCCAGCCACGGCAGCATGAGCACTCCCATACGACTGTCTTTTTTGAGTAGAAATTTAATAAAAAATATTAAAAATATATCATTACAGCTAAAAAGAACTATTTATTTTTTTTCTTTGTTAGTTTTCACATTTTACGGACAAATTCAAATTGTTCTAAAAAATGACAGAAAGATTACATAACATGGGCAATCTACAGTTTCTTTAAGTGACTGTTCTCTCACACCTTTTCTGGACACTAGGAATTTCAGTGCTGTAGTGCAGTAAATGAAGAAGACTCCATGGAACACATTCAATGAATGTTACTTACAACTTGGATACTGATCAGACTAGCTCTTTTCATATTAAGACCCACCCAAGAGCTCACATGATCTGGTGGGATCTTGTTCCATTTACTGCTGCAGCTTCTGACAGTGCTGGGTTGCTCTGTTTGTTCCCAGGCTAAGTGGTCTTCCTTGCCTGGCCCTTACTATCCACGAAGTACCCTTCATAAGATACTATACATGCATATGTCCATACACATCATATACAAAATGATGTGTATACCAGACTAGAAGTCAATCTGGTATATCCTTAAGGATAGTTCTAACTACTCACTGTGCCTGAACTTGGAGAATGCCAGATTCCAGAGCACCTGGGTTACAGATGTGCACCACCATGCATGGCTATGAGCTTTTTAGACCTCATGTAACATAAAGTGTAAGAAGCTACAGTGTGCTTAAGGAGAGACTACTGTATATTGGCTTGTGAATCTTTACACATCATCTTTGTTTCAACTAAGAAAGTCCTTAAGAATGGGGCTTAGGTCTCACATGCTCTTCTCTAAGCACTAGCGGCACCTTAAAGATAAAAAAAGGAATATAATGGCCCCATCCTTGTATGGTCTAACCTCCAATATTTTTACTTATACTGCTGCAAAAGTGGTAAACACTCAGCAGCAGCATACTTGAGATGTCAATCTTTTCTAAGGCTAGCATTATCAGCATGAATCTCTACAGTGGTGCTGTGTCACAGCAGACGGCTGCAGCTCCAGTAATATGGCATTCTATGGAGCTCTGGGCTGCTAAGCTGTTTGCTGGGGTAGGTGCAGTAAGCGCATTTTCGACTTAAGAATGCATTTATCAGAATGGAAACCTGTGAGTCAAAGATTAGATGCTGCAAAACTACGCTTTCACTAACCCCAACTAGTTTTAAAGCCTAAACTTAAATTGCAAAGATACGTCTTCCTTCTAAATTCTAAACTATTAACTAAGAAATTCCAAAGAGTTACAAATACTACATCTGGACACTATACTACACAGAAGAGATTTAAGCTAGTCACCAGCTTACCGACAATATGGATTTCTTCTAGAGGAATATCGAAGAGTAAGAAATCTATAATATATAAAAGGCTGGAGCAAACTTCCTTGGCCACTGAAATAAAAAAATACAAGAGTGATGAATACATATTACTAATTCACATATACATTAAAAAATTACAGGCAATTTAAAAGGTAAGTTTGTGTCTGCATCAAATGGTCAGTACAAAGACTTATCTAGGCACAATCACTCTTACAAAGTAAATAAAATATAGACGACTAGAAGAGAATTTTATTACTCAAGCTTTTATAGATATATCAATATATTAAAACTTTATACTCTAAAACTCAGAGAGAAAGAGAGGGAGAGAGAGACTGACTGACTGTGATGGTGCGGGCATGTGTGTGTGAAGGTCAGAGATACCTTCGGTAAAGTCAGACTTCTCCTCATGGGCTCCAGGACCAAATCAAGGGATCAAACGCTTGACAGTCAGGCCAGCAAGCGAGTAACATTACCTGTCCAATCATCTTGTAGGCTCAATGTTTTGTTTTTCAAATCAGGGTCTCAATATGTCACACAGTCTGGCCTATAACTCCTGAGCCTCCCAATGCAGCATTCAGAGAGCTGAGACTACAAGCATGTCATACCACATGCTACCTGAAATCAAATTTTATAATACCCCCCCCACACCCCCACCCAAAATCTAGTTTCTCTATAGACCAGGCTGGCATTGAACTGACAGAGATCCATCTGCCTCTGCCTCCTGAGTGCTGGGATTAAAGGTGTGCACTACCACTGTCCAACACAAGTTTTAAATCTTAAAAAAACTGCCACGTGAAGAAAGATTTATTTTATATGACCAAATAAAACATAAAACTATACCAACTGATACAATATAAACTCTTAAGTTAATATTTTTAACCCTTTCTTCTAATTTGTGTGGGAAAACTCTACTAATTAAGGTAGAAATCTAACATTGTCTGGATAGCTTGGCACATCATAATGTAAGATTCCCTTCACTGGCAGGGCTTCCCCTTCTCTGACCTTGTCTGGGGAATTCAAAACCCCCACACCTCTACCTGCAAAATGTCACATAGCCTTAGTTAGATTACAGGATCAACTTCCTTTCTCCTGATAAGAACCTGTTTAGCTAGCACCTGAGATTCCTGAAATGCTTCCCCATGCTAATGAGGCATTTTGGTACTCTAAGCCTTTAGTCAATGATCTTTGCCCATCCTAGATATTTCACCCCAAAATTATATAAGCCTTGAATCACCCCAAGGAAAGTTGATCTGCCTCTCTGCAGCTGGTCCTGATGTGTCGTCTTCTCCCTACATACTCACTCATCCCACTTCTGGCATGTATCCAAAGGAAAGGAGAGCAGACGCATCAATGTGATCTGTGCACGCCATGCTTACTGCATCACTACTCACCTCAGCCAAGATACAAACTCAAATACAGAATCTATCAGCAGATGAACGGACAAAGAATGGGCTATATACTCCTAACTATCTATACACACATGGTTCAATGTTAGGCAGTCCTAAAAGAGTGAGATACTATCATTTGTAGTGAAAAAACTGAATGGAACGGATATTAAATGACAAGCAGGGCTGGAGAAAGGGCTCAACAATTAATTGCAGACACTTGCTATTCCTGTACAACATGCAAGTTTGGTTCCTAGCAGCCACACGGCATCTCACATCTATCCAGAAATCCAGTTCCAGGGCTTCTTCAGGCGTCTGTGGACACCAGACACGCACAGGGTACACATATATGCAGATAAAACACTCATACACATAAAAGAAAGTACATAAACCTGAGACAGAAAAATTAAACACTCACTCAAATGCAGTGGCTAGAAACCTGATTTCAAAGGAGAGTAAAATAGTAATTACCAGAAGCCAGGAAGAAGAGGAATACGGATAAGCTGAGAGCCAAAAGTATAACAGACTAGATAGAGGGATGACTCAGTAGCTAATGTGCTTGCTGCACAGGCATGAGGGCCTGAGTTCACAGGCCCTGGGGCTTGCTAGTGAGCCAGTCTAGGCAAAATGGTGAGCTCCCAGTGCAGTGAGACTCTGGAGTGTGATAATGGAAGACACTCAATGTCAAACTCTGGCATCTATATACGTACATAAAACATACACTTGTATAACACACACACACACACACACACACACACACACACACACTAGCTGATTAAAGGAATAAATTCTACTGAAAAAATTATCTTTAGAAGTATTTCTGGCAAACTCTTGAAAATTAAGATGCTGACAATTTTGTCCGTAGCGTTAAATAAATGCCTTAATGAGCTCAACCAATTTAAGTATCAATGAAGTTAGAACCTATTATAATTCCAAACTAAGATTTCATGTTACTGCACTAAGTTTTAGGGTGTAAGCTTTGGAGCTCAATAATATATAAATGTAGCTATATCAAGTCAACATTCAGGAAATGAATTTGTTATTTATCTATTTCAGTTAATACAGTGCCAGAAATTATACAGAAACCCTTACATATGCTAGGTAGTATCTCCTTTTAAGTGAGAAATTTCAAGACTCAGAAACAAGTTAAAAGTCTTACCAAGTAAAGGCTAGGTCAGAACACCACCTATTAAGAAAATTTTTATAGCCAAGTATAGTGGTATAAACCTTTAATCCCAGCACTTGGGGAAGTAGAGGCAGGAGGATCTCTGTGAATTCAGGCCAACCCAGTCTACACCATAAGCTCCAGGATAGCCTGGACTACATAGACAGCCTGTCTCAAACAAATAAATATGTGAATACTTTTAGGTCTATCATTCTAGAGCCTTGTACTATTCAGAGCTCCACAACTTGAGCAGCATATGGCAACCTTAAAACTCATGAGGAAAAAGTAACTTAGAAAAATGAAAGAGATGAATTTAAAGAAAACTCTGTAAGAGGTATAAAGAGAGATTACTAAACAAAGTCAGTCTGTTGGTGCAGGCTTGCAGCTACCTACTTAGGAAGATGATACAGGTTGCAAGTTCAAGGCCAGTAGAGGCAATTTAGTGAGTCCTTGTTTTAAAATAAGATTAAAAAGTAAAAGAAAAAAAAGGAAAAAATGGAGTGAAGCTATTGTAGGTCAGCAGCATAGTGCTTACCAAACAGTACAGGCCCTGGGCTCAATCCTCACTACAAGGAAGGGCGGGGGGGCGGGGGGGGAGGGAGCAAGCTTTTAAATATATAAAAATTTCATTGGTCAGTGAACAATGTATAAAGTGTTATACTTGGTAACAATAATTTGTACAAATGAGCAAAATTGTGAAAACCAAGTAAATAGATTTCTTTTCCCAGACAAGAATCTTACTATGCAGCCTAAGTTGGCCTTGAACTTGAAATCTCCCGCCTTAGCCTTCCCAATGCTGGGATTATATGCCAGTGCCTAGACAAGCACATTGACATTTTAAGAACATTTGATGTGGTTCTAGTAAATACAAAGTACATTTAGCTTAAAGACAGAAAAACTAATTCTGATATCTATGTTTTAGAAATCACTATTGGTACACACATATAAGCCAGCTAAGAAAGGTGTTTACTGCATCACTATTTGGAAAATTAAAAATGTGAACAACTATCTATCACCGGGGTAATAAAATGGAACATACTAACCCAAAGGAACGATGTATAACCTTTCAAAGAAATAAATGTTAACTCTAGATATCGACACAGACAGATCACAAAAATATATCCTGACTGAAAAACAAGCTGCAAATAATTCATGCATTATGGTAGCTATAGTACACAGTAAAAACAATAAATAAACAAAGCTACACATAGCAAAGTGTGCTTTCAACAGACATGTATTTTTCTAAATGGACTACATATGCACAGGTTATGTCTTCTAAATGGATTACACATGCAGACACATTAAACTTCTTACTCTGGAACAGAGAAGAGAGAACCAAGACTGGAATTCATTGTAAAATGCTATTTTAGCAGAGAAGTTGTTCAACCTGGAGCCTCTGAGTCCATACATGGCACCACACAGCTAAAGCTCCAGTCCAACACACAACAGTAACCTTATTGAAAAGACTGTTCAGGATTCCTTCTTTGCTTGATCATGAATTCATAGATGACAACACGGCCCAGTGAACCAATATGTTAGCTTATCTATAAAGCATCTAGGTCGATACGTATACGCTTAAAATTAAATGCAAAACTGTCAACAGAGAGACCAACACAGCTGTGATATTCTATCTCTCAAAAGAAAACTTTTTTTATTCACCCATTATTTCCAGATTACAAAATATGTCCACCATTGTAGGCAATTGTTACTGTAAGACTATATACTTTAAAACTGTTTCCTTTTAGTTTAAGACAAAAAATACCATCTCAATAATGGCCAAAAATGAACTAAATTAGATTTCAAGACTGTACTGGCTAATTTTATGTCAACTTGGTATACACTATACTCATCTGAGAGGGGAGAACTTTGGTTGAGAAAATGTCTCTAGAAGATTTGGCTGTAGGCAGGCCTGTAGGGCATTTTCTTAATCAGTGATTGGTGGACGAGTGTCCAGCTCATTGCAGGTGGTGCCATCCCTAAGCTGGTGGTTCAAGATTCTTTAAGCAAACAGGCTAAGGAACCCATGAGTAGCAAGGCAGTAAGCAGCACCCCTCCATGGCCTCTGCATCCTGCCTCCAGGTTCCTGCCCCAACTTCCCAATGATGAGCTGTGATATGGAATCATAAGCTAAATAACTCTTTTCTTCTCCAAGTTGCTTTCTTTGGCTGTGGTACTTCATCACAGTGGCAGTAACCCTAACTAAGACAAAAAAGCTCTTTTAAATGTATTTTTGGAATTATTTTGTAAAAGTTAACTTGCAAGAGTTAAATGATATTTCACAATGTGGATAAGAAAAGTCCCTGTCCCTGGGCTACTCATGAGTGATGGGGATAGAGGAGTCATCATCGTCAGCTATACACTCACTGGTGAGCCCGCCGTGCTACAGTTCCACACCCCTGGGCACACAGATGGCCCTGGTCTAAACTCAGTGGGTAACAAAACAAAAACACAGGAAAAGGACTTGTAGGGAGGAATAGATATTGAGAAGGATAAGAGGGAAATAGAAGAGGGCCACATGTTTAATACACATGCATTAAGTTGTTAACAAATATATTCACTTAATAACCAAACATCTAAGTGTGGGCTTGTTGGGAAGGGTCTCAACAAGAGAAAAGAGGAGAGTGATGGGGAGTGCAGGGTGGGAAAAATAACCAGCACTAAATATACACATGTATAAAAATGTCAAAGAATAATAATTCTAAAAGCTGTTAAACACTGCAGGGTAGGGAGAACCAAAATCCCTGGTTTTCCTGAGTCTCAGCGATTCTTCTAAAGCAACTGGGATTCACTACCTAAGGATACAAGCTGATACCTGCTGATTCAACCAGGAAGGAATCTGTGTGGGTACCTTTATGTTCACTTATCATCAGTCTTTCAAAACAAGCATATTTGAATTCTTACCTAAAGAGCATAAAAACTGTAGCAGGCATCAAGAATATTTCATTACAAGCGATGAATTTCAGAATATTTTGTTGGTTAGTACTTAATTTATCCAAGACAGATCTCAACAGGGGTAAACTATTTGAACCCTTTGCCTAAAACAAAAGAAAACAAGCATTAGAAGTAACAAGGCATCTCTAACAACTCAACAGTCACCCTAGTACCAAAATGTGTGGATGCTCGTGACAGTGGCGTCACATTGACACACAACACACACTTCTCCTCTATACATTAACCCATCTGTACGTCGCTTACACCCTATTGCAACACAACAGCTATGCTGTTGTCTCACTGTACTGTTTAGGGAATGCCAAGAGAAGCCTGCTCAGTACAGATACTATTTTTTGGCAACTTTGATCTATGGTTGGTCAAACTGAAGAACTAATGAACACCAAAGGCTAACTGCCTTTATTTAATCAGTAGCATACTTAACAGGTAATAAAACCAAAGGCCAATTATTTCAAAGTAACTTTAAGAACTTGCTCATTGTAATTCCCTGCTTTAGCCTGTCTCTCAAGAGGACCCAAAACACGTCAACACATTTTGTCATTCTTATGTTGTTTCCCACAGAAAAGTGGTTATTTCTCCCCAGTTGTAAAAAAAAAAAAAAATCTGATTATTCAGCAATAGTTAAAATCCCTATGACCCTTAGGTAACTAACCCTACAGATTACGGAATTCTTAGTGTTCCTGTGGCTAGAGAAATAAAGAAATATAATAAAACCCACAAAGTCAGGCCAGGCACGGTGGGTGGTGCACACCGTTAACCCCAGCACTCAGGAGGCAGAGGCAGGTGGATCTCTGGCTACATAGAGTTTCAGGTCAGCCAGGGACTCTGTATAAAGAGACAGCCTCAAAATATAAAATAAAATTCAGGAACACAACTCTTCAAGTTACTATACAGACACTTCCCATGGTTCTACTGATGCATAAGTTAGTGACAGTGAAGCTCTCTGCCAACTCATCAAACTTAACACATTTAGTGAAGATAACTATTTCAAACTTCAGGGAACTGGAAGGCAATTTTAAGAATAATCCTTTCTCTACAAAATAATGCTATTTTGCAACATTTCAACCGTCCAATCTTCAAATCTAAAAAACTTTATAAAAGCTTGTGAAGAATACAGGGACTTTTGGTGAGAACTGTCTGAAACTCAAACTCACGCCAACTATCTACATTCTACAAGCCAAAGAAACAACCGTGTACTTACATCCAGGACCTTCTTGGTGTATGTGGCAGCATGAAGCAAAGAAAATAACAAGACTGGAAAAATACTCACTGGAGAAAGCAGTTAAGGAAAGCCTTCCCGTCGCCAAGCATGTGCAGACGTGTGCATGCTTTACGTCACTGAGCACTGTGCACACACACAGACATGGCTATGTGCTACGGGCAAAGCAGAGCGGAAGCAACACTTGACTATGAGTTTAGTGGAATACATTTTCTTTCATCTTTGAATCAAATGAAGTTCTGCCATTTAGAAGGAAGTAACTTCCTTTCTAAATCTTTCCATCCGTTTAGAAAGTCAAAATCATTTTTAATAAAGCACCATAAATATCTCCTAAATAAAACTAAACTTCAAGCCACCCCAAATGATTGAATACAGTTTTTACCCTACAATGGACATTTTGGGTTTTTATGGATTTACTACTTTTAGTTGTGTAGGCCTGCATGAGTCTATGTTCACCACATACATGCAGGTCCCCTAGGAGGCCAGTGGGTATTGGATCCTTTGGAATTGGAATTATAGGCATTTGAATCAAACCTGGATCTTCTGCAGGGGCCATCCCTCCAGTGCACCAATTCTGTCTTAAACACAGCCTTCTACAGTGATTTTATCAGTCTCCACTGTTGACCAAAGTTAATGGCTTAAGTCCCATTACTTTGAGAAACTATACTTTTAAAAAAATCTGAATTTGTATAAAACAAAAAAAAAGAAAAGAAAAAGAGAGAGACTGCATTTCAGTTTACATAAAAATCTACCACAAGGTCCTATCAAGCTAATTAAAATATGCAAGGAATTTTTATATTAATCCAATGGTATGGCCTTATACTGTGGGCAAATACACAATTTTTATTCAACTTTTCCAAAGAAAAAAATGGGAACAGATCCCCTCCAATTTTTGCCAGGTGGATAATAGAAAACCTATCAAGTAAATGACAGACTATCAACAATGAATGGTAACAATACTAGTCTTAAGATGTTCTCTGTAGGGCTGGAGAGATGGCTCAGAGGTAAAGAGCACTTCCAGAGGTCCTGAGGTCAATTCCCAGGAACTACATGTGGCTCCTAACCATCTTTAATGAGATTTGGTGCCCTCTTCTGGCCTGCAGGAATATATGCAGGCAAAACACTATACATAAATTTAAAAAAAAAACAAAAACCTGTCCTCTGTGATAACATCAGCAGGAATGAATCATTCTATTTCTCTGTCTAGGTAAAGGTAGGGCATGGATGGAAATTGCTAAGTGCTAACAATTTGAGTATCAAATTCATTTTAACCTTAACTTACTAAGCACTCAAAAACTCATTCCACCACTGAGCATGTCTGCCCACATTTAGAAGAATCTAAACACAAATGTGCGTCTTCCTCTGCAGCCTAAGCTGGCCTCAAACTCTCCCTCCTCCCTGCCGAAGCTTCCTAGGTGCTGGGATTACAGGTTACACCATGGTTTCTAGCTCAGTTTAAAACTTTTTAGTGAATCAAGACTCCTTTAAAACTGGGAAACTGCCAGGTGGTGGTGGCGCACGCCTTTAATCCCAGCACTTGGGAGGCAGAGGCAGGCGGATTTCTGAGTTCGAGGCCAGCCTGATCTACAGAGTGAGTTCCAGGACAGCCAGGGCTACACAGAGAAACCCTGTCTTGGAAAAACCTAAAACAAAACAACAACAACAAAAAAACCAAAAAAATAAAAAATAAAACTTGGAAACTATATACTTCTCCTTTTAAAGGTCTGTGTGAAACTCTGCTGAAGCTTAAATAATTCAGCTTAAACTCTTGACACTGCCAGACTTGAAGCCTAATTCAGTAACAGGCAATGCTAAAGTGTAACCTTCAAACAGGAGCCAAGATCCTCAGGCTCTTTCATAGACCTCATCTTCCTAGGCCAAGTTCCGTTCTCTGTCCCATGGCTACCTAGAGATCAAGATTTGTATGAGGAATTTATCCCTGTCTACAGTTCACAGATCTTTACAACATTCATCTTAGCTTTGGATGCCAATGTTTTTTGGTTTTTTTTTTTGTTTTGTTTTTTGTTTTTTCTCTAATTTGTGGTTTCTGAGACAGGATCTCATGGAAGTCCATGCTAGCCTTGATTTTCCAAGTGCTGCGATTACATGTCTGGTTCAATGTCACTTAAATTATTTAGAAAAGATAAGAAGTGGAAAGGCTACCATTTTATTCTTAAGTGCCAGTCACTGACAGAGCAAGGACAATATACCACATTAAGAGCAAAGACACAAGTATATGTGAAGGATTACTTCGGGCCACTTTTGCATGATGCAAATTCCCCATTTTTTTATGAATTAGATTAGCATTTCTTACCATGCACTAGCTTATGTTCTTGCTACCACTCAGTACTTCCCTTCCCGATTCCCAAGAATTAACTTGCTAGGCCAACTTGCTAGGTTTTTTTTGTTTGTTTTTTGAGACAAGGTCTCACTATGAAACCCTGCCTGGCCTGAAACTAGCTATGTAAACTAGGCTGTGCCTCCTAGGATTACAGGCCTATACTACTACACTTGACTTATGTCCTTTCTGTTTTATGTATAGCAGACTACTTTCACTTTATCTTTTATACTAAGTCATTTCTGGATTAGTTTTTGACCCTGGTTCACCAGAAGCTGGGGGAGCCAAAGATCTTCTCTTTTTTTAAGTAACACATTTGTAGGATTGGAGAGACGGCTTGGGGATTAAGACCACTGGCTGCTGTTGCAGAGGACCTGAGTTCAACTTCCATCACCCACATAGTACTTCACAACTGTCTGCAACTTCAGTTGTAGGGATTTAATATCCTCTTCTGGTCTCCAATCAAGCACACAAGTGGTATACATACATATACACAGGCAAAACACTCATACGTGTAAGCAAAATAAAATTTGCATCTCTCCCCAAAGATATAAAGTCAATGAAATAAAACTTTAAATATTGAGTTCATGTATAAAATTGTGCCTTGAATGTTAATTCAAGCTGATAAGAGACAACAGGCCAGGCGGTGGTGACGCACGTCTTTAATCCCAGCACTTGGGAGGCAGAGGCAGGTGGATTTCTGAGTTTGAGGCCAGCCTGGTCTACAGAGTGAGTTCCAGGACAGCCAGGGCTACACAGAGAAACCTTGTCTCGAGAAACCAAAAAAAAAAAAAAACAAAAAAAAAAACAAAAAAAAAAAAACCAAAAAAACCAACAACAACAACAAAGAGACAAGAACATTGAAAGATGAAGTTTAAATTCACAAAACAACTCTACAGAGTTTACATTTCAAATTTTGGGGACAGAAATGTTTACATTAATATATCGTCATTCAAGTGAGAGACTAAAGGCAAAACAAACAAGCTTCACGAACTCTATCCTCCCAACAGAAAACCTCCACTGTCATAGCTATGAAAGGATACTTGTAACGGGGTAGGAGTTGACGAAGATGAGTGAATACAGCAGGTAGTGGCAGCTGTCCTCTAACAAGGCCTGAGCCAGGAACGCTCTGCTCAACTGGAAGTGTGGTAATCTCTGATGCAGCCTCAGAGCGCTGGTCAGAGCATTGGCCAGCAAAGCACGCTGGTAAAAGCTTGCTGCTTCATGCAACCTGCAGATTACCAGAGGAAAAGTCACCATGAGACACCAACAGCTACCACGTCTCTTCCTCCTTTGTGAATTGCATCAGAATTGCACAACACCTAAATCATTTCATTGTCAATAGAAAACAAACCTCCACATTCTGGGAAACATCTCTTCACACATACATCCAACTCATTAGTCTAAAGCAGTCATTCTTTTGTCAGCTTAAAAGAACTGCAGGATCCGTGAACTTCTCAACCCAAGACATCTAGTTTTCCTCAGATTTTCAATGAGCAGTCACACAAACCAGAAATTAAACATCCTAATTGGTATTCCTAGATTACTGTTGCTTTTAAATGGGCTTTTGTGTTAGTCTTAATCCTATTTACAGTTTACCAATTCTAAAGCTAAAAAGTAGTTCATAGATGCGGACTGAACAACTCTGTGTCAGAAATATGATAATACATACCCAAGAAGAGGCAGGACGAACAAAGCGGAGCAATAAACTGTGAACAGGCGAGAGAGCCACATTGCTGTGTCCAGCTTATTGGTCATCATGAATTGCTAGATTTAAAAAAAAAAAAAGGTACACTGAGCCCAAAAATTATGCTAAGGACAAATTATGCACTTTTACTCCTATGAAGAGTATTGTAACACCACATAATATTGGCTTGTGCAGATCAGTAAGTGGAAACTCACTACTTAACCGCTTCAGTACACACAAACACACACACACACACACACACACACACACACACACACACACACACA